ACAGCAGATTTGCTGTGTTTTCCTGCTGTGGACAGCACTCCAATCACTGTTTTCGCTATTTTTCAGAAGATCTACAAGTGTTTCCTATCAAAAATCAACTATTAATGCATACAAATCAAAAGGAAATCCCTAAACAGTCCCTACATTCAAATTTCCATCTCAAAACCTTCAAAAATGCTTCCTAAAATGCTCTTCTTGAGCAATCGGGCCGCCCGATCTCCGTAAGAGGCGGAGATCTCGCGTTATTCGCGAACTACCGGTCCCGTGCGGATTGGCTGGACCGGTCCAGTGGACCAGTCTAACATCCAACTGATTGAGAATTGTAAATTCCTGAATATCATAGTTAAGAATGAGATTTGTTGCTACCACAATCAATTTGGGTTCTTCTTTGCTGCGAGTTAGTGGATATCAAGAATTTTTTTGGAGTCATCCTCGCGCAAATAATGCCAAATTCATTTGCAAGCATAATGACCTTAGTATTTTATATGCGAAAGAAGAAAATACATTATTCTATTATCCTCTTTCACCATATCTTCTCCATCAAAGTTTCAAGGATGGTTTTTTTTTTTCTTCAAATTACATTCGGATGGCCGGCCTAGTGAACAGAATAAATATGTAGAAGATTAGATTTTGTATTGTGAAGTCAGCAAAAAAGTGATCAATTTCTATCAAGCCTGCCTTCACATCATACCAATCTCACCTACTCTTGGAAAAGGATGAGCATACATACTTCACTTAGATGAAGGTTCTCAATTTGAAGGTGGAGTCGTATATTGACTACAATGTTTTAGAACCCCTTTTAGCTTGTAAATCTTATTTCCTTTTCTTTCTTTTTTATTTTGAGGATTTATATAGGAGTTCTCCGAGTCTATCTTTTATTATTACTTTTCTCTCTTTAGGTTTTGCTGATGAAGTCACTCTAAAGCTGAAAGTTGGCCAATTTTTTGGAATGAGTTTGTGACTATTGTTTTCAAATTCAAGTTGAAATCTTTTATGCCACCTTGAATTTGTAGGGAAGTATGATAGGAAGTGGATGCACTTTTCACAAAAATTAGTGGATGAAACACGAAAATTTTGGAAGAAGAATGCCCCAAAATAATAAGAGAAATGCAAGATCCAACTGGAGAGGAAGATTGGGCTCTCCCAAATTCCTAGCCGCCTGCTAGATCCTAAATAACCTAAGAATAAACTAAATTCAGTAAACTCCCAAAACATAATCTGAAATCAACCCATAGTTAGCCTTAAATAGACTCCCATAATAATCTCCCAAATCAGCCCCCTTTCTCTTATTAAATCCCTCTCAGATTTGAATTCAAATTATATTTATTTCTCTAATTAATTCTTTTTCAATTGTAATTAAAACTCTCATAAACAATCCCCCTTAATTCCTCCTTTTTCCCTAACTAATTCCCTATTAGAATTTGAATTCAAATTAGATCTCTTACCCTAAAAAATTTTCTCCCAATTGTAATTAAAAATCTTCTTATACAATTCTCCTTTGATTAAGAATCTTCCTAAATAGTTTCTTCTTTATTAGGAAACTTCTTAATTCTCTCCCAATCAAATCAGCATGTCCATCAATACTCTCCTTCCAAAGTGTCACCTTGTCCTCAAGGTGGAACGAAGAAAACTGTTGTTGAAGCACTGTACTAATAGCACTAGACTAAAAAATGGACTGTCACTAGGTTGAATGATCCCTGCCTCCAGCGTCTACTTGATCAATCTCTCCATCTCATCCTCCTTGAGTTAGGGAGAATGGTACAAACAAACACTGATATGTGAGACTCAGTCCTTCTAAATGATAGCATGCTCATGTTTTCGCGGAGGAAGCAACCCATGAACTGGCTGGAACACCTCTTAATATTCCTGTTGGAGTGGTTGAACCATATATGGTGCTTCTATCTTCTCTCCTTCTTCTTTTCCTTCCAAACTGGGAAGCTCCACCAAAATTCTCACTCCATTTTTCCTCCTTGGAAGTGGTTTCAAAGATGGCATCTCCTCTTCTTTCCCCAAAATTTTCAGCTCCCAATTCTCCCTCATTATCCTTATATTAGGGTTTCTCCCATTTTCCTGTCCGGTAAACGAGGCTATCACCTCTAATGTTGTTGGTTTGGATTGACCCTCAAGCAACTTCTTTACCATCTCCTTTATGATGACAAATTTCTCATCGATCTTCTCATGGATGACTGAAAATTGCTTTTCGAAACATGAAATCTTTTCTACAAAATCAAATTTCAAGTGTCCGATCTCCCTTTTCAACACTTCTACCTTTCTTCGCGCCATAGGTACCCGGATCTAGGCTCTAATATCAATTTGATAGGAAATGGATGCACTTTTCACAAAAAATCAGCGGTTGAAACACGAGAAATTGGGAAGGATAACATCCCAAAACAATTTTTATTGAAAAAACTATGAAGAAAAATGTAAGATACAATTCGAGAGGAAGATCCAGCTCTCCGAAATCCCTAGCGGTCAGCTAGCGCCCAAATAACCTAAACAATAAACTAAATACAACAAACTCCCAAAACATAATATGAAATCACCCAATAGTTAGCCTTAAATAGGCTCCCATAATTGTCTCCCAAATAAGTCCATTTTCTCTGAATAAATCCCTCTCAGATTTGAATTCAAATTAAATTTATTCCCTAATTAATTTCCTCCCAATTGTAATTAAAATTTTGCTAAACAACCCCCCTTTAATTCTTCTTCCTTTTCCCTAAATAATTTTCTCTTAGGTTTTGAATTCAAATTAGATCTCTTGCCCTAAAAAATTCCCTTCCAATTGTAATTAAAATTTTGCCTAAACAATTCCCTTTTGATTAAGAACCTTCCTAAATGGTATCCTTTTGATTAGGAAACTTTCTTATTCACTTCCAATCAAATTGGCCGATCCATCAAAGTATTATCATATCTAAATTATTACATGGGCTGGCTAATTAATTATAATACTATTTATTATTTTTATAATGACTCATTATTGAGGATGTTTTTGTTTATTATCATTTTCCTTTTTTTATGCTTGTATACATGTATACATGATATATGCTTGTGCCAGGAAGACGGTTCAATAAAGATGCAGTCGTTTACTACTGTCTTTCTTCTCGTATTGTTTTTTTAACCTTCCAACAAAAAGGGAATTTAAGCAATTGCTGTGCTTCTATCGGAAGTTTATATTACATAAAGTTTTTGTTACATGTATAGTAAGATAACTTTCTTAAAATTACCAAATTTAAACTACATTGGTTGAGACTTGTGTTCACTTTCTGACATGTAAATCTCACAATTTTTGGCTCCACAGCTTCGGAAGGACTTCAGCAATGAAGTTGGTGCTGCAATGGGAGCAGTCCAATCCCTTACTGCAGCAGCCTCATCATATGGATCTGCAGATCTCACTCAACTTTTTAGAATTGCAACCCAAGAAGCAAAGAACTCTCGTGCACAGGGTCGTCTTCTTAGAGTGGCAAGTTTCTTTACAGAATTTATTCTTCTAATATTTTTTCAACTGGCACTTGTTCTGCTCCAACTTTTTTGTTATACTAGTGTGTAGCTGTTTAGTATGATTGCGTGCAATTTTTTGTTTCACGCTAGCAATTTCTGTTTTCAGCCTTTTGAGGTTTTCTTCCTTGTCGTGGCTTCTGTTTTGTAGCATGTTACTCCTAATATCAAATCTATTGGCTGCTTTAGTATTCTAAAATTAGTTTATTTTTTTATTGGTCTATGTCTAACTAGAACATTATCTTGATAGGTCTATCTGGTATATCTAAAACCTTGTTTGAACTTTTTGGTTCTAAGGAATCATCTTTTTCCTATGGTCAATTCATTCTCATGTTAAACATTATAGCTTGTTTGAGGCTTAAGTTAAATTAAGCTAAGCTTTTTAAGAGGGGTTGAGCCATTTGGTTTCTGAAAAAGCTAAAGCTGAGAAATGCTAATTGGTTTCAATTTAGCTTATGTTTTATTTAACATGTCATCATCATAAATTATCAATGAATATGTGTGCCAATTTATTAGCTGGTTAATGAATTATTATTATGCTCTCGATGATATTTTTTTAATTTAATAAAAATTCTGGCAACATCTCCCCTTACTAGTTAACATTTATCCCATTCACAAGCATTGCGAGCACTTCATATAAATTATTGCTCCCTCAACCACATCCAATAAGCAAAGAACAATAAATAAATAAAATTATGCTACATAATTCAAACGGACATTCAACATCAATTATAGAATATGATTACTTAAACTTGTAGAACCAAAATCCTAGTATGAAGGAGGTAAAACAACCAAACAATGCAATTATTATGAAAGTTGTCGGGATTCATCTTGATTTAGTCTAACTTGTATTTGCTCAATAGCGTTTGTCTTACAATTTCTGGTGATGAGGCCATAGAAGATGCATTGTTTCTGTTACGCACGTAACACTTCTGCGCGGAAGCCAGTAGTCCAGCTCATATCGAACAAACCAAGGAGAGCGAGAACTAGCTGATAGGGAAGGGATTTCGGTCCCTCTTGTGTGGCCCAAGGGTTAATTCAAAAGGAGGGGGTGGCTAGGAGGAAAATTTCAAATTTGAAGGGTTGTTTTGGTATTTGCTTTATATTGTATGCTTTAAGTAGTTTTGTTTACCCTAGGATTAGGGTTATGTTATATTTTGGTTGATTTCAGAATTTTTTAGGTTGAGAGGGCTCTAGCCGGCAGCTAGGGATTTAGGAGAGCCGGATATTCCTCTTTAATTGAAGATCCAACTGTATCTTGTCTTTCTTTCATAAATCTTTCAATAAAAAAGTGTTCTTGCATGTTCTTCATCCTATTTTGCTTGTGGCAATTTTCTGGTTTGTTGAAATTAAATTTCAGCCACGTTTTCCCCAAATCTTTGCATCCACTTCCTATCAAATTGGTATTAGAGAGAGGTGAATGGTAGCAAAGAAGATGGACGTGTTGGAAGGCGAGAAGGAGCAAATCTAGGCCTGAATGGAAGAAAGATATTCTGGCGTGGAAGGAAGGCTCTCATCCATGGAAAACTGTTTTGAAAACTTGAAAAACATGATGAAGAAGATGATTGAGATGTAGTTGAAAGCCTCACCAGCGGATCTTAGGGCTGAACCAAAGGGAAACAAAATTCAGGAAGACAATGATGAAGTGGAGAGTGTTTACTCTCAAGGACCACCATGGGGGGATCTGATGGTAGGTGGGTTGAGGTTTCCAAAAGAAAGGGCAGTAGGAAGGGTGGAGGCAAAACCTTTTGGGAGACCACCTAGGCAGGGTGGGAGGTGGACCAGGGGAGGTAGTGATTGGGCTGAACCATGGGGGCCAAATTAGCAAGGGGAATGGAGGAAGGTAGAGAATCACACCATTAGGAAACTGACGAAGGGAGAAGCCATTGGTGTATGGATGTGAGATCAAGGAGGTTGAAAATATTAGTTTTTGAAGGGGAAGATGCTCTGGGTTGGGTGTATTGGGTGGAGCGTTACTTTGCTAATAATGGGCTAATAGAAGGGGAGAAGCTCATGGCGATAGGGCTATGTTTGTAAAATGACGGACATCTTCCTGTCAAGGGGATGAATACATATTTCATTGATGCCCTCCTTATGAAGCATTACTTCAGGGTAACTTCATTTGTAAAATGTACCACCTCTGACCATTATCATAGCAAAGAAATAGTTCAAAATGATCATTGAAATACCTCTAAGCAGCTGAACGAATGCGAAAAGTCTTGAATTTCTCTCTTTGAATCTCAGTAAGTGTAGGAAATAAACTTGAGATTGAAGAACATGAAAGAGATGAATTTGTTATACATGATAGACATCTTCTCCAAAAGGCAATAAACAATAGCAGTCATATGAGCTATAAAAGGTATACCACCATCATATAAATAGAGTCACCAAATTCGAATTGAAGGAAGATGGCATCAATACAAGAGGCAAAAATATAAAAAATAACATATCTTATGACCTCATCCATAAATAAATTATGATGATGAGATATCATTTAGATAAGCAGTAAAGACAAGTTATAGAATTGTCTTTAATATCCAAAAGGGCACAAGATAATCTAACAAGTCACATGCCATGATGCCACCCACCTCCATATTTTCAACTCAATAATCAATGATTTGCAGCCTAAATTATATAATCTAGCCTTCAAATATATTAGTTATGCATCACCTAGCAATATGGAGTGTAAATAATATTTCCTTCATTTAATTGACTCCGTAATGTTGGATTTAGAATCTCTAATAACATAATTCATTTTAAGTTGCTCGGTGCAATCCATAACTGCGTCCAAACATTGAATCACTTTGTAGAAAATTGCCAAAATAATCAACACAACATATCCTAACTTAGGACAATTAGTCTAATCATCAAGTTCGTGTCATTTAATGCATCATGTATTGAAAAAAGTTACAGATCTAAGAACATTTGCTATTTTTAGGATATCTGAGGAGATATGCTTTTTGAAAGAAACCTATATTTGAGAACATGTGCCAATATTTGTACTAGATGCAGAGCAAATTGAAGAGGTGGACACTCATTCAAAATAGGGTCCACCAAGTGGACAGAAGGACATCAAAAGGAAGTTGAAGAAATTACTGCAATGAGAGACAAAGAAGTTTTTCATTGGCACAATGAGGTGGAAGAATAGAATGATTATTGAGGTGTTCCAATAACACAGTGGATGTTGAGGGAAATCGTGAGGAAGGAGAAATCAGTTAAAGAAAAAGAATAGATAAGCGAGTAGAGAACCCCACAGGTAGGGTTGCTGCGAGCTTAGCTTCAGATACACTTTGGAGCACTCATAGCGCAAAAGTGGTGTTTTAGGCATGGATTAAGTCAGAGATGGCTTTTATGCCGTTTGGTGCTTAGGCCATCTCCAACCGTAAAATTCATTTCCACTCTAAAATACAATAACACTCCAAAATGCAGTTAAGTAATCTCCAACCGAACTCTATTTCTTAATTCAAAAAAAGAATATTTTGTGCATATTATCATCTTTTTTTTAATCATATTTTTATATTTATCAATTTTTCAAATTAGACATATTTATAATTTTTGTTGACAAAAATAAATCTTACTCGATAAAATTAATTAATTAATTATATAAAATATTAATTTTAAAAAATGACTAACCTAATTTAAAAAATGCATTTATAGATTAATAAATATATTAAAAAATAAATTAATTACATAAAAGAATGTATTAAATTTTTAAAAAATGCATTTATAAATGATTAATTTTTAAAAATTAATAATGAGTGCGTCGCATTGTTCACCTCGCAAAATTGTTGCGGGGTTTTGCGTTCGATTGGAGTTGGTGGCAGATGGCATACGCGTGTAACGTGCTCGGTTGGTGATGACCTTAGGCTGCTTAAGCGCCCACCAATTAGCTTCTTTATGTTTAAAAAATGATATCTAGATGACTCACAAGTGATATTAGAAGTATATGGTGCTTATTATTTCAAGTACCGCTTGGTTGCAGATAATTAGCAACTGAAATAAGAAACTTAACCCCTTTCACGAAAGAAGAAACTTAACATGGACCTGCTGGTTTAGGTCATTATATAGCATTACTAGTTTGGTTCCTGAAACTGCAAGAATTTGAATTGTTTAAGGTTTCATATGTTTGTTAATCAGATTGCCCTTGCTAATTAGTTGGCATATAGATAACAATACATGTAATTGAGAAGTCACCCATCTTGAAACTAAACTGTTAGTTTTTGTTGTATTTTCTTTAGGTTTTTTGTGTAGCCTTGTATTGCCATTAGTGTCTGTAAAAAGGTGTATAAGGCTGTAATAGTTGGGACTCCCAAGAACAAATCAATAAAGATTAAATTTGTGTGCTTTCGTTCTCCCTCCAACCTCTTCATACCCCCCCTGACTCTCTCCCTATCATCCAAGAAAGAGCAAGAAGAGTTCTTTTCCTCCAAGAAGTTTCTAAACAAACTGGTATTAGAGCCTAGTGAAGGAGATAACGGGGAATGTGGAAGGTATTCTTGCGATAAAGAATAGAAGGCAGTTGGGTTGCCGGAGACGCGCGTCAAAGCAGGTGCGCGGGGCAAAACGGAAGCGACTGTGTGGGTATTTGGTTGGAGTGGAGCACGCGGGTTGATAGTGTGATTTTGCGCCGGAGTAGTGGCCAGGTTTGCAGGTTGAGTTCTGTGCGTGGGATGTTCCCACGGGTGTTGAGAGGTCGGAGTAGTGGGTGAGGCAGAGCGGCCGTTCGAACGGGAGAAATGGACAAAGGAATTAGCCATATGGTCAAACTTTTCTATGAAAACGGAGTTATTAATGGTAAAAGCTATCACTGAAGAGGCCCTTTTTAAAAGAAATCAGAACTTTCAATGTACATTTGTCTTTTCTGTTTATTTTGTCTTTTTTTTATGCAGTGCATTAAGCATTTTAGTTTTTGTAATCACTAAGCTTGCAAGTTATTTTCCTGCACATGGCTATCTTTCTCTTTCATTCTCCACAAACCTGCAAATGTCGACCAGTAATTATCGAGTTTCACTGTGTTGAAAAAAATGTATTTCAAATAGCATAATCTAAAATGAAGTTCAAGGCAACAAAACTCAATTTTATTATAGTGCCCCTCATTCAAAAAACTCCTACATTGACCCCTGCTTGTAATGTAGAATGCAATGTATATTTCAACTTTACTGCAACTTTTTACAAAGCCTTATAGGAAATAAAATCTCCATTCTAATGCTTTTTTTAAGTTAAATTCATTTCAATATAAAAACCACCCCTTATATTAACTTAAAAAACACTTTTTTTTCATTGTAGTACATATAGCTATTACAATTAATTATTCTGTGCGGACGCCGAACGCCGTCCGGAGACTAATCAAAATGCGCCACATCACACATTCGCACGGCTCGGTATCGCTGACGTGGCTGCATCTAATTCGCCTTCGGACGTAGAGAGCTGCGTCCGGCCTCCGCGCAGAATAATTTCTCCCATATTACACTTCATTTCTTTCATTGTAAGACCAGCAAACATCCATAAACATTATTTATTCATTACTCATTGAAGAAGACAACACTATTAACATCAAGTTGGTCATGCTGGCTTCAGATGCTCATCTACTGCAGATCATCTATTCTTCCACAGCATCAATGGCCAGTGAACCAAAAGGTCTTCACCTTGGATGTCCTATATCTCCATGACAAGCCAGGCCCTGAGAACTGCCCACAGAAGGTATACGATGTACTGGTCGACGCCCTCGAGCACGTCAGCGAGTACGAAGGCTACATATTTGAGAGCGGACAAGGCCTATCTCGAGTCCTTTTTCGCCAAATTTGCATCCTTCTCTCACACCCGCAGCAGCGATGTGCTCAAGATGACCTTGACATACCCAAGTCCCTTGAAAAGAGGCTGCCGCCGGCAACTGATGCTACAATTGCCGAAGAGAGCATCTCCAGCACCATTCAGTAAGATTTTACTCTTTCATTCTATATATGCCGTAGTATAATGAAATAATTAGAAACAGAACTTTGTTGTGTAAATGACATAGGGCTTGTTTGGTCAGCTCAGTATTTAAAAGTTATCTTTACATAGTAGCAGAAATTTGTCAGAAATGCTGTTGGTTATGCATATATATTTTTGGTTTAATTTAGAAAACATAAAGGGTCTTAACCTTGTTAATTAGATATTAACTTATGAAATGGGAATGGTTGTTGTCATGCGCTAGGATATGAAATTCATGATGATAGAGAGAATTATTTTATTAGATAGCTTTTCATGAAGATCAAATACTAATTGATAACAAAAAAATTTGCAATAGACATCAAAATTTTACATGAAAAACCTGGATATGAAATATCATGGCAGGGGTGTCAAAATGAGTTCTCGTGTCGAGTTCAGTTCCAACCCGAAATTAACTTGGCTTCAACTCGCCTGACTCGAACCCGAATTGATTTGGTAATCAAGTTAGAAATATGGACCCAAACACCACCCCACCCCACCCCGACACCTGATCAACCCAAGCTGACCCGTTGACCCGAGTGCGAGAAGGAGTGATGCGCAAGCATAAGGGTGTGAATGTGTGATCTGAGAGCGAGCGCGATGCGCAAGAGGGCGATGTGGCGAGTTTGATGCACAACCGCGATGCTTGAGCGCAGACGATGGGACGAGTGCGCGAGCTCAGACAATGAGTTGAATGCATGCACACAAATGACGAGACGAATGCATGGGCACGAATGATCAGACGAGCGTGACAGAATATAGGATGACTGGACGAACACATTTACGGGTTGACCCATGTCAATTTTGAGTTTTCGGGTTGACTCGAACCCAGCCAATTTTTCTATTGAGTTGACCTTTACCCAATTTTTTTTGGGTCAGGTTCAGGTAGAATTTTCGGGTCGTATCGAATATTAATGTCCCTAACCATGGGCTTTAAATATATCAAATGATCAAATTAGATAGAAATGTTGTAAGATCCCACTCTTTTTTTTTTTTAACAAAAGCCCCGAAAGGGTTTACGTGTTAAAAGAAAGAACCAATTACAACGAAATAAAATATGGGGGCAACGGCTCACTAAAGCTCAAAGAGCAACAAAACCAAGCAAAAGTAAACCTATCGAGCCCAAGGACACCCCATAACAAAAAAAAAAGTAGAAACCTAAGTATAAATTACTGATGCTAAGGAAAAGCATCCAAAAAAGAAAGATCAGAATAACGGAATGAAGGCCAGTCTTTCTCCCAAAAACTAACAGCTGCTCCAAGCAACGCTCCTCCTGCAAACAAAAGAAAAAGAGAGCCAAGAACCTACACCACCAAAAACAAGTGAGATAAACCCAATAATATAAAAAAGAAATGAGGATGAAATTAAAACCAAAGCGGTTGAGCCAAGGAAGGCCAAAATTGGAATTAGGACAAAACGAGCTCAAATATAAATAACAAAAAGCTTCATTTGGAGCCTCCACAAGCCGCTCGATCCTACCATCAGTAACAGCAAAATCCCCCCCACATGAGGCAAGCCACTGATTACAACGGTCCTCCACAACAAACCAGTTAATCAAAGGATGAGAACAACTACACCAACTGAGAAGGCTCCAAAACAACCACAGTTAAGATCCCACTCTTCCTAACAATTGTAAAATGCGGAATTATAAAATATGTTATACATGTTTGTATTCCTATAAATGTAAGAGAGAATGCTCGAGATGTAGTAATTGGATGGTGTTAATTATGTGACAATGATCGGATGATAGTGACTAGGTAACGACGTCTGAGCAATGATGGTTGAGTGACAATAGTTAGATGATGTTGAATAACAGTCGAGTGACGATAGTTTAATGACGATAATCACGGGGTGGTTGTGACTGACAGTGATTGTCAGCATCGAATGTTGAGTTAAGCTCTAGAGTTCTATAGATCTCAAAGCTCTTTCTAAGCTAAACCTAGTTCTCATTTATGTGGAGAATGATAGTCCATTTTATAGCATTTTGAAGTGACACTTTCATAAATTCAATTAAAATTTCATAACACTCTATCAGATGGCTTATGATGGCTTGAATTTTTTTTATTATAGACTATTCATTGAGCATTTAAGTGTCTTAACGATGTCAGAATCAAGTGTTCTTATACTTCTTGGATTCATCACATTGAGTAGTTTTTTATTCAACTATACAACAACAATAATAACATCTAGCCTTTACCCCATTATGCGGGATTGATCTGATTTAATTATAAGCATGCAAAATTTGCAGATCATCTAATCCTTTAATCAATGTTTTGAAATGTTTAGGGTTACTTCAAATGTTTAACGGACTCAAATTAATCCCTTTTGGTGTCATAATTCAATTAAGTTTGTTGAAATAATAGTTCATATAATTTTAAATTTAATTCGGAAGAAAATTTCTTGAGACATCATTTTCCCCTCCAATTTCAGATGTTAAATATTGTGTCGTCCAAAAATATATATTTAGTTCATATTGCCTAAGAAGGTCATGTTGAAAATTTCATAAATTTCAGTTATCAAAGTACCCAAAAATATTTATAAAAAACTTTGGAAATTAACTCCAATATCATTTGAACTCCATTTTCAATAAACTTATAATAGACATAGTACATTTGCCAAGACAGTCAATGATACCAAGAACAATTGGCTTAGAGTTCAAATCAGTTTTATGCTTTGTTTGGGACTGCTTTCTTAATGCTTTATAGTACAAAAATTTCTCGTTCAACAAATTTTTAAATTGATAAGCTGTTTTAAAAAGCAATAAGAAAGCCATCCCAAACGAAGCCTTAGTCAAAAAATCATAAGCATAATTTGATACTTCTTGATATTTTATAAGGCCAAATGTTATCTAAATTTTACGTGATGAGCTAAATATGACAATCTCAAAATTGCTCAATTATGAGTTCATTAGAGTGATGATATCTAAGAAAATAAAATAAAAAAAAATTTAAAAAAAAAAATCTAAGAAAATAAAATGATCATTCTAGAAGTCCAAAAATACTTTTTTTCCTTCTTTTTAAAGATATTTAAGAAGGGTTGCTTCCCAATTTTTCATAAAATATATAACCGTAGTTTTCTTATTAAGATTTTATGCATCCAAAGAAAAATAATTATTTTGATGATTTTGTGAAAAAGTAAAAAAAAAGTAATTTTATAAAAATGGATCATAGTTTATATTATTTAATAAAAATAATTAATTTTGGAGTATACTTCATGATTATTTGAAATTCATTAATGTTTGTGATATTTCACCTTAGTATTATTAGAAAGAAAAAAAAAAGTAAACTATATGATGTATTTTTATACAAATCTCCCAATTTTCTTATGAATTAGATGTAATTATAGGTAAATATTTTTGTAAAAAGGAATTTTATTTACTATTTTAACATTTGTTTTCATATAATAAGCTTCTCTTTAGTTGGCATCTAACACAACTATTTGAAATTTATTATCTAAAAAACTTACAATATTAGTTAGCCTTTATTATAAAAAAGATCCTTAAAATAAAATATTTTGAAATATAATACCATTATGTATGAAATAATAATGTGTTAAACATTGAAATCAATTTGAAATGACATTTTTAAATAATTAAAACTACTCATTTTTTAATAAAAATCATTTTATTTTAAATGTTATGATGGCATACATCATGACATCATTTTTCACTATATTTTACATGATGATGACAAGCGTCCATATTAAATATATGCTATGACTTAATCAATTATGTGCAACATATGAGTTTGAATGATGCCATATGAAAGAATGTAAAAATGTTATGATAGAACAAACGCATAAGAAAGTATAAGTTCTTTGAAATCATATTTGATGTATTCTCAGATAATTATCTTGATCAAGCACGAATCTTGGGGCAAAATCTAATCGGAAACTTCAAAAATTAAAATCAAGAGCATTCGAACTCCGATTTCAGCGAGCTTATAGTCAAACTGAGCGTCTCGGAAATACGAACCCAACGACACCAAATTCGACCCAATCCGAGCCCAAATGGGTCCGAATCAAGGACCCGAAGCGCTATGTAGAAGGTTCAAATCGCAATTTTGAGTACCAACCGGTCTCCGATTTTTAACGAGCTTAACTCGAATAAGAGCAGCTCAACGAGACGGAAATCCAACGAGCCCCAAGATCGCCAAAATCTCCTGACATCATTGAGGCCTTCAAATGTCCAACGACGCGTGCATGATCAAAGGATTCAATATCGGCCGTCCTTCAAACCACTCCCAATTCTCCCATAGATCTCACACCTATTTACGGGTTTTATGCCACTCCAGAAAAAACTTAAATAGAGCCCTCATTTTTTTCACAAGAGGGGGACTCAAGTGAGAGAGAGAAGAACAAGAGGAGGAAAGGGGAAAAGGAGAATCCTCTCCTCCTCGACCACCGCCGGAGCTCTTCTCTCCCGCCTGAATACGCTAGAACTCTGCTGGATTCGGGGAAACGACGATTCTGCAGAAAACTTTGTAAACTTGCTGAAGAACGAATTGCTAATCTGATTGCCCTGACTTTGTGGACCGAAACAGCCATTTGTAATTTGCAAACATAGCTTGAATTTTTAACTCGGCGATGGCCCCGTGGTTTTTTCTTTTTTGGATTTCCCGTAAAAATTATGGTGTTCATTATTCTCTTTTCTGTTTGTGCGCTGAATTCTCGTTACAACGCTCGGACGCGAATTTACAAAACGCGTACCCGACGTATATTCTTTCCGCAAATCAATATTAGTAATGTATATGGAGTTTGATTTATATGACTTGATTACATGCATAAATATACATACATTAACATATATGCTATGCATGCATGGTTACAGGTTTTTTTTTTTTTTTTTTTTTTTTGGTACATTTTAGGCCATTTAGGCAAACTCATCGACATCACAACGCATACACATAGACTCGAACTCTGAACCTCTTAGTTGAAAGCCAAAGCTCTCAACCAATAGGCCAAGGAGAGTTGTGTCATGGTACAGGTTTATATGGCAACAAGAATAAGAATTATAAGATTTTATTTTAATAATTATTATGATAAAAATTAGAATAAAATAATCTTCATGTTCATAAAATTTTGTAATAAATGATTACCTTTATTATTCCTAAACTTTATGTTAAAATGATATGGAGTATCATTATGAATATGTAGGGAAAATATTTAAAGAAGAAATTTAATTAATATTACACATAAGATTATATGTTTCTAATTATAATTATCAAAATGATAAAAAAATGACATAATTCTATTTTATGGGTAGATATTCTATGGATCAATTCAATTCCCACATTGAAAAATAAATAGACAATAAACGCCATTGAATTTAATATGTCAAACAAGCACATTAATAGATATGCGTTTATGGCAAACACTAGGGGTGTAAGTGAATCGAGTCGGCTCAAACTCGATTCGTTAAAGAGCTCGCGAGCCGAGCTCATCGAGCTTCGAGCTCGAGCCTACAATCGAGCTCAAATGATAAACGAGGTTAAGTTCGAACTCAACCCAACTCGACTCTAAAGCTTATCAAGCTACTCGATATATATAATTTTTATAATATTATTTTTATATATAATAATACACATCACATGCGTTGATGCTTCTCAAACGAGCTCTATCTCAATCTCGATCTCGAGCTCGAGCTTTCAAGTCGAGCTCGAACTCGATCTCGAGGCCACTAAACGAGCTCGAGCTCATTAAAGGGTTTGTTTGGGACGACTTTCTTAGTGCTTCTGAAAACAGCTTTTTAGAACATAAATTAAAATCTTTGCACTAAAAAATTGCTTTAAGAAGCATTAAAAAACCGTCCCAAACAAAACCCAAGTGCTTAATTATGATAAAATAGTAACATTGGAAAACACCCAGAACACAAAATAGAACCGTTGAATAACCCAGTACAGGTTTTGCTTAACAAGCCACTAACTAATAGAACAAAACATAAAAATTAACCGGTAAATAGTACTGTCAAAACCTCAAACTTATCGAAAAGAAAAATCCTCTATCTCCCAAATTACAAGAAAATAAAGTCCAGAACAGAATACAAACCAAAACACCCAGCAATGTTGAGAAAGCACATTCATAATTAGATTATTCAGTCAACTTTGTGGCGAAGCTTTTGCCACCGCACTTTGGGCCGACTGAGCTGCCGAAGGTGCTTCATAAGACCCGTGCGCGTCGCCGCTCAAATACGAAGGCTGACCATAAGCACCAGAATAAGATTCATTATAGGACGACTGCTGCTGCTGCTGCTGAAGATAAGACTGCCCATAGCCCGTTTGTTGAGCATATCCAGAAGCTGGTGAAGGCTGAGAATAACCCTGCACAGGCTGCCCATAAGTTTGTGTAGTCTGAGCATACGCAGCCTGAGAGGTGGCCGCAGGCGGCGGAGCTTGGCCATAAGCTGCCGGAGCAAGAGATGGTTTCTGCACCTGAGGAGATTGTCCATATCCAGGTTGTGAAGCTGTTTGGGATCCATAGCCTGGTTGAGGTGGAGCTTGTTGAGTGTCCTGAGCTGAACCAGTAGCATAAACTTGCTGAGGATAACCAGTCTGGGCGGCCGAAATAGGCTGAGTGTATCCAGGCTGCGCATAACTAGCCACCTGTCCATAACCTTGCTGATGCCCGGCGGCAGACTGGGAATAGGTTGAATCGCCGTATGATCCCGGGGCGGCGTAAGTGGGCGGAATCTGGCTATAGTTGTAGCTGTTGCTATCTGTCAAAGCTGAAGATTCGCTGGTAGGTTGCTGCTGTGGCTGTTGCTGTTGCTGGTTATAGTAATCGTATCCAGTTACTTGCGCGGTTTGCTGGCCTGCTGGATTAGATGATTGATCCCAACCAGTTGAGGTTGGAGGAAGATATCCACCATAAGGTTGTTGAGACATGTTATATTGAGGGGGTTGACCAGGATATGTTCCAGGTTGCATGTATCCGTAGCCGGGTTGCTGCATGGGTGGTGCTCCGGCGGGAGCCCAGCTCGTTGGGGGTCGAGGAGGACGGTATCCTCCAGATGTTTGTGAATTCCTAGGGCGATTCTGCGAAGTCGATTTCATTGTATAAACCAATTGCTTCTTTTGAAAGTGACTAGAAGGATGGATGAATGTAATAAAGATGTATTGATAGATGAATGCAATCACTAGAATAATAATGAAATGTCAACAGAAGAATCTTACAAGTAAAAATGTTCCTAAATTGGGGCATTTTAGGCATATCCATTCAGAGAAGGTTAGAAAAAAAAAACCCACTTACCACATTAGATGATAACTCCCAAGGTACAGCTGATGCCATCCTCTCCAAAGTCCTAAATTATGCAGACTAGTGGGGAAAAAACGACAAGCCTAAACAAACATATCTAACAGAGAGAATATATTGCCACAGGAAAGGCAACATGAAATTTATGCTTTCTCCAGTAAAATCATATCGCAGATATCTTCTTAATTGGAGAGCTGATTAATTAGAGTTCAGGAAAATATGCAAGAGCAATATCATCTAACAATGGGAGGTTGGAGAACACATGGAAATGAATAAACAATTATAAAAGAACAACGACAACAATAAATTCTTGCTAGTTTTGAACCTCAGTATATGACAAATGTAGAGGTAATAATAGTATAAAAACAAATCTAAATTTCAATCCGATATTAAATATAAAAAAATTAAGAGTCCTGCTTGGGCTTTCATATTAATGTTCACCTGCATGAGTGAAAATAAAAAAAAATTGCATTGATAGAAACTAAAGCGTGAAGAGGCTAAGACATAAGTAATTAGCTTTACATTAATCTTGCCCTCCATACATTGTTCCTAGCTGCAGGAGGTGACAGAATAGAGCAGAATACTTACGGGCATCAATAGCCTTTAAACAAGTTAATAATATATGTAAGCATCTAATGCAAAAGACTAATCCAGGAAATACATAGCTCGTTACAACATTAGAAAGTATTATGAGCAACAGTCAGTTTATATGGAGTTCATGTAAACAAAAAAAAAACCATTACGCATTACAAAAACTTAACAAGTCTGTCAAAGGAGACAAATATAACCAATATTGACTAATATTTATTTTTCTCCAAAAAATTAAATAGTAATATTGGTTGATATTAATATTTCTCCAAAAAAATTTAAGGATGACACAATCAGGGAAAGTGCAGCATAACAAGGGTTAGAGAGATTAAGACTAAAAAGGACTCATTAAAAAAAATGGTTTGAGAGATCAACTAAATTCATAATAGGCTAATTTTTAAGAAGGATCGTCATCTGTGGATGATTAAGGCTTTGTTTGTTTGAGCGTTTTTTTGCCTTTTCCGTTTTTGGAAATGGAGGAATTTTTTTTGTGTTGTTTGGTTCGTCAAATCTGATGGATCTTCATACAAAACTAAGACATTAAATTTTATATTTATCTACCGCCACGAATATTCCAGGACACAACAAAAACAATATTGAATAATATACTTATAAATATATATTATATTATATTAAAATAATAAATTATTTTAATTTTATTATTTATTTCTTTAATTTTTATTAGATATTTTTTATATTAAATTTATTATTTTATATGTTATATTTAATAATACTTTAAATATTAAATTTTCTTATATTAAATTTCTGATTATTATATTAAATATTATAAAAAATATATTAAATTAAATTAGATTTTATGTGGAAAATGCAATTCAAAATTGGTTTTCATAGAAAACCAGTTCTGAATTGTGTTTTATGGAAAATTCATATTTTGTTTTGCATGTTTTATCATTTGTAAATTTACTTTTAAAGACATTTTCCTCTTTTAATGATGCACCAATGGTTCTTTTTTTTAAATTAGCCTTCATTATATTTTCAGTAAACCATAGCGAAGCAACAGCAACAAATACAGAACGCATCATAAAATAATAACCGGAAAGAATTTATGAAAAGGAAAAAAATGACAAGATTTATAAACGAAATTTGTGCCCGTTCAACGGTTTTCCAGAATTTTGAAGATATATTTACATGGAAAATTAGAAAATTATGCTACAATGAAAAATGACTCAATAATTCCGTGCCTTTGGCAATGACCCTAAATCCTCAGGAAGGAAAATTTCCAATATAAACGAAGCAAATGCCATTAAGACATGTCTTAAACTATTTTCACAGAAAACAAATCATGACAAGAAGTTTGATTTCAACACATATACGTAAATAGAAGTGTTATAATAATATATGGATAGCAAAATAAAACAAAAACTCAAAATAAATTGCAGCGCAAATACAGCGTAGCTTAATAATCCCTAATAAAGAAAAGAACCGTCCTCTCAGATTAAACCCCATCATACTGCCACTAAAATTATGGACTTCCTAAATGATGCAGTAGAGAATGTAACCAAGTCCCGGACAAAATTTATCATAGAAAGGTATAGAAAGCTAATAGAATAAGGCTTCGTTTGGGATGGCTTTTTTGTTTCTTCTTAAAATAGTTTTTTAATACGAAAATTAAGATTTTTATAGAAAAAAGCTGCTTTAAGAGCAACAAAAAAGTTGTCCCAAACGATGCCTAAAACCTAATCTATCATGGCTTCATGCATAGGAACCTCTAAATTCGACAAAAAATTCAACTGCATCAAGTAATTGGAATTCACTATGAGGGAATAAAAATAGAATAAAATAGCATTTATATTTCATCAGAATTTATTTCCCAATAAAGAGGTAGTTCAAAATGCATACATATCTTCTAACTCAGATCAGTTCTGCAGTATTCCATCATGGATCAATTAATATTTATCATGAGTTGCAGGTTTAAGATCATACCAGTGCCAAATAAACAGGACAAGGGCATGCCTAGAACTTTACTCCATGTTGGGTTCACCAACACAAGCGCTCCCTACAACAATTCTCAGAAAATGATAATAAGCTCAAATTATAACAGTTATCTCTTGATAAGCCTTCCCCTAAAAATCATCTCATTACATCCATTTTATGAAATCCTAAATAAACCAACCAAAATGAGGTCACAAATTGGAATCATATAGCATTCAAACTTGAAGAAAATACTCTAAAGATGGGACCATGTATTAGAACTCTAAGTCTGATAGGAAGAGAGGATACTTCTGATACGTTAGTTATTTCAACATAATTATAATGCTATTCCACGAAATCTAAAGGATGATCTTTCCAGGCAGTAACAATAAGCTGCCCAAAGATATTAAAATAATGATAAAATCAAGGTATGTCCCAAGTAAAATTTGAATTCTATTCTCCAAATAAGTAATATGAAAGTGTGACAAGGTAATTCCAAGTTAAGATGGTGAAGCCAGTTCAAAAAATTTAATCATGAATCCTCACACGCAAGAAATATGATTGAACATATTCATGTTTCAACATAGGAACAAATTTGCAACAATGCTCATTTCAAAGCAAAAATTAAATCAGTTATTCATGAAAATAATAATCCAAGTTCTAACTTCTAAGACTAAGAAGAAAACTTGGGCACAATTTCAGCAGCCACCAACCAAAATTGGCCTAAAAAAGTGATCTTTCTTTTCAGCCCTCTTAACCTAGAAACTTCCTATTGCCATGATATGCACATGTTAAAGAAATGAACAACGTTTCAAAAAAAGATGCAGAAGCATACAATGCACAAAAACATTGAACATAAGCATATACAGATGTATACACAATGAAACTGTTATTAAGAATATAATACCCATTTAGCCCAATATCTCATTTATGCATAAACCAGAATGCGGAACAGTTCGAGAATCCTAAGAAAAAAGTTGACCGCGTAAACCATCCAAGCCAGATCATAAGCCCAAATGATGGCCTCTTTGGTTGCAATATAGTAGGGACCTAAAAGTTTTATCAGCACCCAAGGAGGTGAAGTCCATTTCAATGGGGGAGAAAACATCAGTTTCACGCCCTTGCTTTTGATCTAATTCACTACTTCACTCCAAAGTCACAAAAGCTTCTCTAGATTCACCATTCTCCTACTTTAGTTAACAAAATGATTCATTTCCTAGGAAAATAGGATTGAACAGCAATGGAATTTCATAGCCAATAAAAAAGCGTTTTACAAATAACTGATGAGCCTCCACAATAGCCAACCAAACAAAACTATACAAATGACTATTGCAGATCAGGTTTCCAGAAAAGTGAACATAAAATCAAAGAAGGAAATCTTTGCTACTATAAGAAAACATGAGAAATAAGTTAAACAAACCAAGTTTCACAACCTCAAAATGTTTCTGGTTAATATTGCAATTAATATCAACAAGAAATCAAGATTTACAGAACCCTATCAAAGGACAAGAATGCAAGTGTTATATGAAACGCCAAGTGATGAAATGCTTGAAATAACAAACACAAGATAGAATGATCAAGTAAAAAATAAACAACAAATGCCTTCCAAGCAGTCAGAAGTGTAAAGTTTGATTGAAAACAACCAAATAAACAAAACCTTGATAATAAACAGAAGACATAAGATTGATGATTTCTCTTAAAAGATAAAAACAGTTGCTTCAGTTGCAATGGGAAGAAAGCTTAAATGCTTCGATACATCAGTAGCCTTTAAGCACTAAACCAATGACAAAAATATTGTGAATATAGAAAATTTATAATGCAAAACATCATATTAGATAGTACAGACAACTTATAATATTCATCATAAGGATATGCAGGTTAGGAAGGAAGTTTGTAATATCTTTTCACATATAAAAGAATGAAGATGTGAAAAAAAATTTAAAAAAAATCAGAATGTCAGATGCTTGAACTGAAGTACAACATAAATCTCATGTATTCCTAAAAAAGAAAGTTTTATGTCGATGCTCAGTTGGTGATAGATGAAAAATAAATTGTACTAAAAATTCCATGGTAAAAATAATGTTGATCTAAGTTATATAAGTGACTAGCGTATATAAATGTTGATCTCGCTCATGATAAAGTTCCAAGCTCATGCAAACATGTGCGCTGCCCCAATTGAGAAAATTAGGTTAACTTCAGTGCGCAAAGCAATGAAGAAAATCAAAATAAATGTAACACCATGGTGTTTTAAGTTTTAACCATTATAGGTTATAGCAAGTAAATCACATACAATGCAGATTATTACCTCAACCATGTTCTCCATCTGCAATGCAAGTGAAAACACAAGCTTGCAAAACAGCTAAGATCCTTGGCCCTCTTTGTGCATTACATAATAATTAAAGTAGGTCATCCTCACTATTTAAAGGGTCAATGCAATGTGACTTCTATGTCATTGCTTGAAATTCAAGATCAAGGCTAAAGTGAAAGATAATAAAGTCATTCATAAACAGAAAAAAATCAACAAAATCACTGGCTTTGCCCTATGTTGTTTAATGATATTAAAACATAACAAAGTAAAGTGCAACTTGCTCCTTCAATTTAATCATATTAACAAACAACAATTAATGAGTAAAAGAGTTCAAATGATTTATTCGATTAATTCAATTTTCCATTAGCAAAATATAAATTCACATCAAAAGAAATGTTAATTCCATTGACAAACCAACTTTGGACCTTCCCCATACCTCACTAATAACATCATTAACCATTTGCTTTGCTAATTCAATCTGTTCATTTGTGCCATCTATATGTACAGTTCGTTCCATTGATGGATCACCTGGTGGCAGATGTAATGGTATCACCTGTAAAAGTTAAGATGAAAAATTACACATATAGAAAACTAATATGTAATCAAAGCTATGGATTCACAAAAGCAATGGTCAAAGATTAAAATCAACACAAAAATGCTTGAAGGATGCCGTTTGAATGAATTCACAAATTGTATCACTAGAAACCATCTGCAATGATAAAAAAATGATTTGGACTTGTCTTTGGGCTTTTGCTTTCACAGAGAACTCAGACTGTCTATTAAACAAGTTGTCATATAATATTCAGTAGCTATACAGCAACATTAGGGGAGGACCCAGGAATCAAATCACAAAATGTTTTCCACTTAAAATCATACACAAGTCATTCATACAGCACTACGGAAATGAATTTTAATTTTCTCAGATCATGACATCAATTCATAAAATATCAAAAAATCAAATTAGTTATGTTTTTCTTTAAAATCTAGCTCTTAATCAAGATTTTGAAATTCTCAATCCCACAACCTGCCAGTCGGGCATAGAAAGCTTTGTCCTAGCGTCAAAACAACAGAAACACACTGCTTGCTATGTCTTTAGCTATCATTGCTCTTTGAATTATAAATGGAGTAGGTCAAAGTTTTGCTTACACTGGGTCTTCATTTCCATAATGCCCACCACAATATTTACCAAGAAAAAGAAATTTACGACTTGGAAAAAGATTAACAATGAAAAACATGAACAAACACCAACATTGACTGATCATAAAATTTTCAATTCTATCCACCTATGGAGAAGTTCAGATTAGCTTCATTCCTTGAAAATGTGTGTGCATTCCACACATGTTAATAAGTTTGGCTAAGTCATGTTTAGTGTTCTCTGTGTCCTAAGTCAATAGGTTAAGGAAGGTTTTAATTAAAATTAAAGTTAAACTACTTCTATTTTCCTATTAGTCATTAATTTAGCACTATGGTAGTAAACAGCTAATATTTGGAGAGCTAATTGGCTCAATCTCAACAACTTTTAAAGCAAATAAGCTAATAAGCCTAAATAAATTTAAGCTTCTTAAATTAGCAATAGTGGTCTGACCAAAACCCAGCTTTTTGGCTGGCACAAAAAAGTTCAAAAATACAAGAATACTCATGTATACATATAGAACTATCCTCTCAGATAAATTTAATTTCTCACATTCCACTATCTGGTTCAACTAACAAGGAAAACTCAGTTTGCCAACTTAGTATTTCTGTCTTAAGGTCACTCCCATCGCAATGGATAGCACCCTGCAACAGGCCACTATCTAAATCAAACTTGTGATAAATTACTGTATTCCTCTCCTTACATAAGGTGGCATGGAAATGTGTTGCAATATAAATCATATGGTGTTATCAATGAGGCAGAGTACCGAAACCAATGAATCAAAAGGCATTAGCTGTTAAAATTTCCATAAATATCTAAGTGATAAGTACTTTCCTCCTCTGCCTTTCAAAATCAAAATCCTTCTATTGATACCATCCAAAGTCTCATAGAACTAAGAGTTGACCTCATTAGTAAAATTTATGCACTGGTTGTTGGTAAGTTGCAATTTCTGGTTAATAAAAAAATTGTCCATCTTGCAGCTCTTAAATAGTTGGACTTACTTTCTATCAAATTCATGCTTGTGTAAAGCTCCGAACTTCTCTTTGAATCCTTTTTAGATACAAAACATCTCTTTTCAAATCTCAAGTTACATTCTGATGCTTCAAACAATTGTGATAACCAAAAAAATATTCCTGACCTTTAGCTGACAGTCATGTTGAAGTTGGCGCAACATGCATTAACTAGTCATATTTAAAAAGTTGAGAATGAGGCAAACAAATTGATACCTATGATCATTCACTTCACTGAACAGACTGAAATGTGAACAACAACAACAACAAGCCTTTATCCCACTATGTGGGGTCGGCTACATGAATCAATTTTCTCCATTGTGTCCTATTAAGAGTCAAATTCTCATCTAAATCTAATAAAGAAATGTCATTTCTAATATTCTCTAACCAAGCCTTTTTAGGTCTACCTCTACCTTTCTTAACATAAGTCAAATCTAATACATCTACTTTCCTAACCTAGTAATCGGTAGGCAGCCGTTTTATGTGACCAAACCATCAGAGGCGACTTTCTCTAATCTTATCTTCAATTGGAGATACTCCAACCTTATCACGTATATGCTCATTTTGTATCCTGTCGCTAAGAGTAAAGCCACTCATCTAACTAAGCATCCTCATCTCTGCAATACTTAATATAATATTATGCTTCTCTTTTAATGGTCAACATTCTACACCATAAAGCATTGCAAGTCTCACTACCATCTTATAGAATTTTCCCTTAAGTTTGAGAGGGATTATTCTATCACACAACAAGCCCGATGCATTCCTCCACTTCAACCATCCAACTTGAATTATGCTAATAGTATCCCCATCTATTTCACCATCACTCTGCACAATAGACCCAACTATCCAAAACGTGTACTCTAATTAATGACTTGATCGCCCAAAGTCACAATCCCCTCACTAGATCTATTATTACCAAAATTACACTCCATATATTCAGTTTTAGATCTACTCAAACGAAAGCCTTTAAACTCTAAGGTTGACCTCCATAATTCAAGTTTACCTTCAACTCCCTCTCTAGTTTTATCAACAAGAAGAACATCATCAACAAAAAGCAAACACCAGGGTACAACCTCTTGCAAATGTCTAGTGAGAACATCCATGACTAAAGCAAAAAAGACATGGGCTTAAGGATGATCCTTCATGTAATCCAACTGAAATAAGAAAATACTTGGTCAAAGTGTCAAACCACTTAACCACCTTGTGTTTGAATGCAAGTAACAACTCCTACATATATATCCTTAATGACTTGAATATAAATATTATTAATTTCTTTCTTATGTAGAACTCTCCATAGCATTTTTCTTGGAACTTTATCATATGCTTTCTCTAAATCAATAAAAATCATATGTAGATCCTACTTATTCTCTAAACTTCTCCATCAAACCTCTCACTAAATGTATAGCTTCCATAGTAGACCTACTTGGCATGAATCCAAATTGATTTTGAGAAACATTACTGAAATGTGATCATACTTCCAAAAAGAATTTCATGCCATGGTTCTAGAGACGTTTATCAACAATGAGGAAAGAGATTTCCCAGCATGATTCCATTTTCTTGCAACAGCTACAAGTTTCTTAAACCCAAGAAAGAAATAGCCACACAATTGCATATACACATCAAGGTGAAGAATAGAGACAAAAACCACACAGGTTAAATGTCTGATAAAAAACTAAAGTAGTTTGATGCCCCCTAGTACTAATGAGATTGTTGACTGCCCATACCTCTTGACTAAATATGATCATTTCCCAATAAAACAAAGATCAATGAGTAATCAACAGACTGAGCATTTTTGGATCAATGTTTTAGTGAAGTCCTCGAGAAACAAGTTTAAATAAGTATAAGTGCATGAGATGGAAAAAAAACACAACAACAACAACATCAAGCCTTTATCCCACTACGTGGGGTCGGCTACATGAATCCTTTTTCTCCATTATGTCCTATTAAAAGTCAAATTCTCGTTTAAATCTAATAAAGAAAGGTCATTCCTAATATTTTCTAACCAAGTCTTTTTAGGTCTACCCCTACCTTTCTTAATATAAGTCAAATCTAATACCTCTACTCTCCTAAATGGGTCATCGGAAAGCCGCCGTTTTATGTGACCAAACCATCTAAGGCGACTCTCTCTAATCTTATCTTCTACTGGAGCTACTCCAACCTTTTCACGTATATGCTCATTTCGTATCCTATCTCTAAGGGTAAAGCCACTCATCCACCTGAGCATCCTCATCTCTGCCACACTTAACTTAGTATTATGCTTCTCTTTTAATGGCCAACATTCGGCACCATAAAGCATTGCAGGCCTCACTACCATCTTATAGAATTTTCCCTTAAGTTTGAGGGGTACATTTCTATCACATAACAAGCCCGATGCATTCCTCCACTTCAACCATCCAACTTGAATTCTGCTGATAATATCCCCATCTATTTCACCATCACTCTGAACAATTAATCCAAGATATCTAAAACGTGTACTCTTATTAATGACTTGATCGCCCAAAGTCACAATCCCCTCACTAGGTCTATTACTACTAAAATTACACTCCATATATTCCGTTTTAGATCTACTCAAGCGAAAACCTTTAGACTCTAAGGTTGACCTCCATAATTCAAGTTTACCTTCAACTCCCTCTCTGGTCTTATTAACAAGAAGAATATCATCAGCAAAAAGTATACACCAAGGTACATCCTCTTGCAAATGTTTGGTGAGAACATCCATGACTAAAGCAAAAAGATAGTAAAATATTAAGTAAAATATAAAGAAATATTGTTTTATGGATAATCAGAAGGTAGAAGTGTGAAACCACTCAATATGCTTGAAGTTATATTTACAAAACAATGGAGAGCTTACCAATTACACAACAAGAGAAGCAAATTTTGAAAGGTTAACTGCAGAATTTAATTGGAATAAGTATGAAAGTATTAATAACTTTTCGTGAAGTATTCAACAGTTAGTATCACACCTCCAAACTGCTTACCCTACTGATAATCAAAATTTGCCAACCATTAAAAAGAAAGTAATGGTGGGGAAGCACTCTATCTATGAGTTTACAGCAACAGAGAAAGCCTCCATGTGGCAGAAATTTGATAAGAATTTGAGAAAACACAATCATTTTAATCACTGTTGACAATTCTAGGACATTTATGCTCACTTTTCAGAAGAATCAACCTCATCTGGTAACACAACAAAATTCAGTATTATTCCTGATTTCAATGACCTCGTAGCTTTATTTAAGCTTTATGCAACCTTTTAAGTCAAACCATTACAATCTCTTTTCTTTCATAGTCTTTCCTCTTTAAGTGTATTTCTACATTTTATATAGAAACTTGAATTCATAATTGTGCAGCAGGATCAGCCTTCATTTCCATAACTTTATTACTTCCATGAGAGTCAAGTCTACCAAAAATCTGACTGCTTCATTTGCAATTCTGAAATTGTACAAATGTAAAAAGCTGGTGAGTTAATTGGGTTCGACGAGGCTCAATTGAGATAATCGAGTTCAATCGAACACAATTGGGTCTGCTCCAACTCGACCCAAGTCGAGTTGACACAAAAATTGTTTCAACAACTGGTTGCAGAGTTTTCTTTAATATTTTAATGTAATGTCCATTGGACAGGATTCATTCAGCTTGATCTCAATTGTATTCAGCTTGAACCATTTAATATGAAGTTCAACCTTGAGCTCAGCTTGCGTTCAAGGTTATATACTTGTCAAGCTCTAACCAGGTCAAAAAATAGCTTATTGGATTAAACATACCGACCTTCTTATTAAACTTTTTATTGCATGCTAAACATGAAAATATGTTAACTAATTCAAGCCTAAGTCTAAAAAATCAGAATAAAATCTAACATAGCCAAATAAAATTTCCAAAAACTAAGTGCAGAAATTAAACATGCTTTAATTTGGACATTAGGAACAACATATTAAAAAAACATACACAGAGAAAGTCCATGATCTGTTTGTGACAAAAAGAATTAAAATATAGATCAAATGGAAGATAACTAGCTATTCATGTAAATGAGCATACTAAAAAAGAATGGAAACACTCATATAACATATAAAATAAATGTTCTAACCTGGATGCGTGCCCCAGTTGTAGCTTGCATGTTTTTTATATTCTCACCACCTTTGCCAATAATTAGACCAACCTTGACATTTGCAAAGTTTCAAATCACGATAGATAAAGAAAAGGAAACAGGCATTCACCAACAATTATTACCAACCTTATTGTTTGGAACTTGCATTGAAAAATGCTCAGCACCTGTAGGTGTACTAGTAAACTTCCGACCCGAAACAATGCCAGAACCACCAGCTGCAGCCTTCATAATTTATAGATAATAAAAAAAATGAACACCAACAAATTGGAGAATTACATCATTGATTTATACCAACCCCTACCTCTGCAAGTACTTCGTTAATCAACTGTTCAGCCTTGCTAATCTGCTCAGGAGTTCCAATAAGTTCTACAGGTCTAGTCTGTGAATGAGGGTCAGAATCCATATCTCTAGTTACTTGAATTCTGGCTCCAGAATTCACCTGAAGATATTTTATTGTCTCTCCACTTTTACCAATAATAACACCAACCTGTCAAAAAATAAATCTAACAAGGATCAGTGTTGAAACTGACACAACTTAACCCCACAAAAAAGGAAGTAGAAGAATATTGGACTTATAGAAAGATTAATACCCTTCCATTAGGAATATCAATTCTCTTGTTCGATCCAGCAAATCCATAAGAGGCAAAAGATGATGGTGTGGTCATCCCACCTTGCGATGGTGATGACTGCCCAAAAGGATTATGTGGTTGATCTGATGCACATGACACGAAAAGAATTTCAACAATGATTAGATCCAACGACAGGAAAAAAATTGTTTTGACACATAGCACCAAACTTTATGCACATATATCAAGTAACTAAATAAAACCATTCAAGCAATCCGCCTGGCGCAATTGATGGAAAACTACTCAAGCAACTTCGAAGCAATCCAGACATAAAGAAAGCAAAGGATTCCTCCACATATCTAAGAACTTGAAGTCATGCATTGAAACATGAATATCAGTATACTGGTGCTTAGAACAAAATAAAAAGCTCAGCAGATATAAAAAAAAAAAAATCAACATAACCAAATATTAAAGAATGTTATAAAAACATGATATCGAACACAATATTATTAGCAGCCAAACTGAAAACTTATTCGTATCAAATAAATAGATCTATAAAGACTTCTTCGGGTATAAAAACCCCAACGCAGGTCAGAAGCCAGATAAAACTAAACAATAAGGTGAAGAAAAGATGCATACCAAAATCAAACCCCTTGTTGCTCGAATCATCAGCCCCAGCCCCGTTCTCAACTCTTGGCCTCTTGGCCTCGGCATCACTGAAGATCCTTGCAGCGATCTCCTGCGCCCGCTGTTTAGCTAGCTGGATGCCATCGGGAGGGGGAGGAACGGTGTTGTAGGAAGGTGGGGCAGCGGCCTCCGAACGTGGAGAGACAATCGGTGCAGAGAAGCCGGTGGACCTACGACCAGAAGAAAGAGCAGCGGGAGGAGGAGTGCCTTGGTCGTCGAACTTCCGTTTGTGGTCAGACCGCGAGGAATAATGAAGATCTTCCGCCATTGGTGGAGCCCGTGGATGTTCTCGCCACGGACAGAGAAAGAGGAAAGAAATGGAGGAAGGGTCGCCGACGAACACGAAAACCCTAATAAACGCGGAAGAGAAGACGGCGGGAGTGGTTGGATGACCCCCGCATGAGAAGATATTTGCGTCTTTTTTGCATTTAAGCCCTTTTGTTCATCCGAAATTAGATCACACAACAAGGAACTTTTATTTTATCCAGTGAACGTACGCTCTCTACGTTCGGATCTAGATAAAAAAAGCGCAATACCGAGTACCGAGTTGTAACGAGTTTTTTAAAAAAATTCGGTATTGCGCTGTTTTGGTCTAAAATCGAACGTAGAGGAGCGTACGTTCACTGGATGTAATAAAAGTTCCAGGACAAGACAGGCTTAGCACACAAGTGAGGCGGCGGTATTTAAGCCTATGATTCGGGTGAAATTATTAGGGGTCAATTATAATGAGCCATATTATTAATATGTTATATATTATTAATGTATATAGGTATGTATCGAGTGATGTGGTGCATTTGATTGGACTCAAAACAGTCTAGTAACCGCACGTATTTTCTCCTGATTGGGTCATGGTTGTAAACTCTCACATTGCTTATATGCTGATGATATATTAGTGTTTGACAAAATTACAGTGCATAATTATAATGTTCTCAACGTCATTTTTTGTCATTTTTATTAATTTCACTGTTATGTTTGTTAGCCTTGAGAAAAGCTCTCTCGTCCTTCAATCAAACTCTCCTCAAACTAATGAGATTTGTGCAGTCCTAAACATCCCTACGTTCTGCTCTAAAATCTCCTATTTAGGTTGGAAAGCTAAATATTTTTCTTTTACAAGTAGACTTCAATTCCTTATATACAATATATGAAATACCATCATTTATTAGATATGGGGTGCCATTATGCCTAAATTATGTTGTAAATAAATAAGGAGATTATCACCTAAATTTATGTTTTTTGGGGATTCAAATGCTAAGAAAATGCACCTTTCCTCTTGGTCCAATACTTGCAAAATGAAAACTCTTGGTGGGTTGGGTCTTCCAGATATTCAAGGGCTTAGGTTAGCTTTAATTGCTCCATTATTTCCATGATGCATAATGCATCCTCTCCTCTTTAGGCTTGGTTGACTCTTATATATTCTTCTCCTTGGAACCTCCTTCAACCGCCTCTTCCCCTATGAGGAAAAGTATATGTGACACTGCTATAAAAGTTAAAGGGAATTTTGTATTCAATGTTATTGCTAACAACCCTATATCTCTTATGTGGGATCATTGGTGCAATGGAGTCTGTTTATCTAAATTTCTCCATCATCAAACTCTTCTAAACTCCTGCTCCCCTGAATCTAGGCTCTCAAAACTTTTTGATATTAATGGTTGGAGATTACCGGCTACAACTTATGATATAATTAAAGATGCTATACTATCTATCCCGATTTCTCATATATTCATGTGTGGACTACTTGAAATGGAATTCTTCTAATAGTAGCGCCTTTAGCTCCTTCCTACTTGAGTTTTATAAGGAGGATAAGTCGGTTCACTAGTATAATTTAGTCTGGCACAAGCATTATGCCCTTCGCTATTATGTTTTTTTTTTTTGGATGTGTTTTATTGGGGGGATTAAAACTGGAGATGTTTTAATTATGAGAAATATTGGGGTGGATCCTTTATGTTGCCTTTGTAATTCCAAGGTTGAAAGTTTGTCACACCTCTTCTTTGAGTGAGATTTTTACTTTCATTACTATCACTTATTTGATCCCAGGGTTAAAGTCTTTCCTTCTTCGTCCAAACCTTAGTCAAGTTGTTGAATTTATTTGGATTTGACTCGCTCTTCCATCGAAAAGTTTAGCTTTTATTTGCTTATGCTATGGTGGTCTATTTATCATCTTTGGAGAGAGAGAAATGCTAAGAAATTTTGGAATAACGTGAATAGTTCATCCACTTCGTATTATCATTAAAAAAGCAGTCTCTGCTAAAATATCTTTATTAAAAAATAGGGATGCATTCAAGAATCTACTTTAATGTTCTTGACAATGTATTGTGTTTCGTGTCTCTGGTTTCTGAGCTTTGGTTCCGACATACTATTCAGACTTTCTTGCATGCCAATTTCTGTCTTGTTTTGCTACTTTTCAAACATCATTTTTTCTGGACAAGATTTTTGTATGCCACGGACGATGATGATTTACGGTCCTGGTCTCCCCTTGAATGATTTTCGGGCAATCAGGGGTGCCTTGTCGAACTTGATTTGTTGTTGATCAACTATTTATATTCATCATCTAAGTCTTGGAAACACATTTCAAATTTACTTTTTCTTTTAATATAGTTCAAGCTAATACAAGTTCACTCTTAGCAGGTTTTTGTGACTCAACCTTCGCTGGAGGTGTCTTTTTGGGGCTCCACTATTTTTTTGTTGGAGCAATGTTAGCTCTTTTTTTTTTTACTTTTTATGTATTTCTCTTTACATGTAACTTTCTTTTTCAAAAAATAAAAAATGGAGAAAATGGAGTTTCCAATTTTTTTAATATATGGAGTTATTATATAATATTGTTTGATTAAAATTATTTTTTCTCTACTTATCCAAACTTAAATATGGATAATAAGTGTTTGATTCAGACTTCATGTGGGACAGTTTTTTTATTGCTTTCTAAAATAATTTTTAATAACAAAAAATTTTGTTCAAGAAATTTTTATATTAAAAAGTTATTTTGGAAAATAGTATGATATTGTTCGATACTACTATTGATTCACTATATTGATTATTGATACTGATTCATTGTACATGTGAAAGACTAAGCATATGATTTAGAGACTGATTTGATAATGATATAGACTAATTTGATAGTATATGTACATTTTTATAGAGTTTTATTGCATTAATATGAGTATCACAATATTTACTGATGCTTTGATTTTACCATTATATATTATTTATTTACTGATTAATAGTACTCATATGACGACTGCTTTAATGACTTAACACTAGTAATGATTTATTGATTTCTTCATTGTACTGCTTTACTGGCTTCAATACCGTATCATTTTACTGGTTAATGACTTTACATCTACAGCATATGCTTTACACTTTTACCATTTCTCCATTGATTCATGATCATATTAATATTATGCAAACAAATTAAATAATTGATGTTTGTACCACAGATTTGATATTTAATATTTCTTTAAATAAATCCATATAATTAGTATTAATTATCCCGAAGAATAAACTAACATAGTATTTTTCCTACTTTCATACATTTGAATATATAAAATAAATTTTCATGATCTCAAGCATCTGACAACTATAAATCACACTAAATGATTTGGGAATAATTTGAGTAGCAGAGATGACATTCCAAGATACTTGGAGTGCCCATTAACTAAAAAAACTGTCATGCATGTCACATAAAAATAAACTGAATGAAATATGTTAGCTTATGCAAATATTATTAGAATTTTGCAGTCTATTAATTAGGCATTTCTAATTCTATAGGTACTTTCAAATTCACAATTATAGAAATTATACATAATAGTTCAAATAATTTTTATACTAAAAAATTATTTTAAAAAGCAACAAAACAACTGTCATGAAATAGCTTTCTTATTAATTTTCAAAGCAATTTTCTAATAAAAAAAAAAATTAGTTCATAAAATTTTGTACTAAAAAACTATTTGAAATAGCAGTAAAACAACCGTCTCAAACTAAACTTTAATAAACCATTTGGGTCCCAATTGACTATAACCGAATTGAACCCAAACCCGACTCATTGACGACTCAAATTGAAAACCTCTACACAGAGGGAAATCTTTCTACTACACCACCTTACATTACCCATCATAATACTCTTCTTAATTTTCTTCTTAATTCTCTATCACTAATTTTATTTAACATATAATAACTTTATTTACTACAAAAAGAAAAAGCCTAAAAGATCAGTGGTAAATCTATCAGTTTAAAAATCAACAACTGTATGACTTCGTTTGGGACTGTTTTTTTAATGCTTCTTAAAAACTGTTTTAAGCGGTAAAAAAGCTATCCCAAACGAAGCTTGAATGGTCATTATGAAATAGTGTGAATTTGCATAAACATTTTCAGTATATAACCATTATTGACAGCAAAGAAGTTTGCAGCATACAAAAGTAAAAAAATACACAGAAATGTATAATTCCCTGTTACACTCATCAAACATATGGAAGAAGCAACTAACAAATACTGAAAGTCTGCAACTTTTTGCCATTGCAATGCAAGCCAAACCCCTTAACTGTACTTATTTTGAGAACAAGAAAACTAAGCACCGGATTGAGCCAAAAAGAGGAATAAGGTTCTTCACTGAGTCCACCAGTGAAGGAAATCCTTCCGGCGGTTGATCTTCTTCTGGAGCTGGAGGATACCGTACAGTAAAGCTTCGGCGGTGGGAGGGCAGCCAGGGACATAGATGTCGACGGGGACGATTCGATCGCAGCCCCGTACGACAGAGTAAGAATAATGATAGTAACCGCCGCCATTTGCACAGCTGCCCATGGAAATGACCCATCGAGGTTCTGGCATTTGATCATAAACCCTACAGAAGTAACAGAGTGTGAATGAGCCAACACACTTTTTAAAAATAAGTGAGGTGCAATATCTCACATGTCACCAAATTCATAGTGTTGTTCAGTGGTTTTACATGCAAATTTGGAAGGCCAAATCAATTAACAAGTCCAACAAATTGAGCAGAGAGAGGCAAGAAGCAACAATTATTTGTATGGGCACTCATTCATTGCCATGAATGTCCATTACTTTGACTTTCAATTATCATGCAAGATGCATTTAGCTAATTCGTGTAAGGAAAAGTTACATACACAACGTAAAATTTGTATATTAATAAATTAACTCCGAGATAAAAAAAAAAGAACCACTAAGGCTTAGTTTGGGCAAAAATTTCAATTTACTAGAAAGCTGTTTTAAGAAGCAGTAACAAACGAAGCCTAAATCAGTGTATTTGTGGGTGCCACGAGCAACTGGTGAAAATGTAAAGAGCAAAAGTTACAACTTCTGGTTTTGTGTGCTTCTCAAGATTTCAGTGATCCTGTTGGAAATAGAGATAGTTGGGTAGTTATATAAATGTAAAATTTTGTGCACCACATAAATAATTACCTTTTTGCTTAATCAATAATAGCGCACCCTGCAAAAAGCTAGGTAAAATCTCGCTAGATCGTTATTACCATAAAATGGAACATACAGGCTATTCTGCATATAAGGAATGACCACTTTAACCAGTCTTGATTACAAGAATCACCGGATGTTGGATTGGATTGTATAGCTAGAACCCCACCATCAGGATGCAAGGCAAAAGATTTATTTAAATCACTCGAAGCATAAACATAAAGGAGAAAGAGATGGAAATTATGCAGAATATTCATGCAGAACCTATCCATGTGCCAGCTAATTGAAGAAAACAATTGTTCACTCATGGAGTCAATATGATGTTTATGTATTAGACTTAGGGGTGCAAGTGAGTCGAGCTGGCTCGAGCCGACTCGTTTATGAGCTCGTGAGCTGAGCTTATTGAGTCATGAGCTCGTGTTAGAGCTCAACGAGACTCGGCTCGCGAGCCGGCTCTAACTTATTAAAATTTAAATATTTTAAAAAAAATTCTGGCGTTTTGAAAATTATGACGTGTATTTGAAATTCTCGCCCACCCGCCCCACGCGTATTTCAAAAATTCTGGCGTGATTCTCAAATCTCTGACAGCCGCAGGATGAATAATAAAGGCTAATACTCAATGCCTTTATGTCTGTGTGTGTGTATGACAGACTATAGTCTATAGATAATAAAGGCAAACACTTAATAGCCAATACTCTCTCTCTCTCTCTCTCTCTCTCTCCCACTGCAGTCTTAAAATACCAAGAAAAAAATTTCGACTGCCGTTGGAACATGGAATGTCGCGAATCGGACCGCGCCAAAGGCTCGACGAGTGGCTCGAACTTGTTTACGTTGAAACGGGTTGAGCTCAAGCTTGATTTTTAAGCTCGAGCTTGGTATTTGACAGTTGAGCTCGACTCGAACACCCCCTGACTTGAGCTCGACTCGACTTGTTGGCACCCCTAATTAGACTACATAAACATCACACCAGAACAATATAACTTGCCTTTAGCTGCTTATGACTTAACAGACCCGCTGTAATGTGAAGCTCATCTTCTGGTGGCTTCCAGGTTGAAGATAAAGAACTGGTTAGTCACTAAACATCCAAGTGGGGACAGTGGTAATGTTTTGTGAGCAATCCCCAGCTTTGATGTAACATTTCTTCTTCTGGGTTCGAGTGTTTTCTAATATTTACTGTAGAGATTGGAGTTGCTCACTTGTTAAAATTTGCAGCCAAACGGAAATTGGTTAAAACTTCAAATCCAATTTCAAATAATTTTTTTATCCAAATCACAGTCTCTCAAGGCAAAAAAATCAAATTGCCTTGAGGCAAAACATTATAAAGCCGAATGCATAAATCTTTTGAAAAGAAGTCTTGCAATAAGTAAGATTAGGTAAGCCTGAAGTGCCAAATCACAGATTGAATTTTTCTTCCTTTATTTAAAAAAAAAAAAAAGCTCCATACAATGATTGTAAGATAATTTTAAGAGAAAATTTAACCCCAAACATAGAATAGTAATTATGGATATAAATCTTAGAAATAATTAAAAGGAATATTTTGTCTTACATTCATAGGGTGGAAGTTATTAATCTTCCAAAGTAAGCTGCTTAAAGAGATATATTGAACCAAATTTGATCTAAGATGGGATGAATAATTGTATTTAGAAAAGTGTCAGAAGTTCTATAAAAGAAATCATAGTGGATGCGGAATTGAGAATTTTTGAGCCAATATTAGTAAAAAGAAAAAGTGAAAGCTAAATGCTACAAGTCAAACGGTCTTGCATAAATTACACAAAAGAAAGGTGCTATCAAAGATGAAATAACCTCAAGAGTTAACACCAAGTGAATAAAATAGATAAGTTCGCCTTGGGAGTACAATGCAATGAGAGAATAAATTAAAAATTTTATGATAGATTTATCAAGCCAAAGTACAATTTTTCTATATGTATTAAAGCGTTAGCAGTAGAATAATTATCATAGATAGAAGAAATGTGAAGTTGTGAACTTAAGGTGGATGTGTGATGAAACTATAAAAAATAGAGTGAGAAATGATTGAATTAGATAGAAGAATGAGATTAGCACCTATGAAAGATAAGGTACTAGAAAACATATTTAAATGTTTAATCATACATAAAAGAGGGTTGAAGATGCATCGACAAAGGATTTGATAGAATCATGAAAAAAAGATTAGTATAAAGAGAGATACACCTAAAATAACTTAGATAGAAGTTGTCAAAAAAGTTTACCATATCATATAGAAAAAGAATGAATGAATGGAATCAACCCCAAATAATCCAAACAAACGATAATAATGATGATGATAAGATATTGCTAAAACAAATACTATTTCTTATTTAAAACCTATTAGCTATCATAGAGATGACTAGTAACTCTAATGTTTTGCAATAGAATAAATGTAAGTTGCAATAAGCATCTTGTCATCATAAAAAAACTATCTTATTTTCAAGTATTATAAAATTTTAAATAGGATAAACTACTGCCATACCCAGGAATTCCTTAACCCCATACATCATAAATAGTAGATTGTACCTATTCATGGATCATAAACAGCATTAAATCCAACCGTTTTCATCTTATCATTTACACAAGTCAATATTGGATCATCTAAATAAGACCATTTGGAATGAGTCATCATCGGACATCTGAATAAGATGCAATGCTTCTTAAAAAAAAGGGGATAGCCTCATCTTCACTCTAAATCATATTTGATTCTCAATTTTTGAAAGGAAAGTAAACCACACAATTTCCACCCTACATGATCAAGTTTCAAGTCAAGTCACTTAGGTTTCATTGATTTGGTGGTCGAGATATTTGTAATGACTTCAAATTGACCCAACAATAAGAAAGCAACTCATAATGTGGCAATAGGTAAACATATTCTGAACTAAATCTATTCATCATAGTCCTTTCAACCATGACCCAAGCAACCAAATCACCGAATCCCAATCCCAAATTCATGTTTCACTGAACATAAGTATCACAAATTCAATGAGCTAGAATTGACTGTATCAACAATGAGATTGAGGGCAATGTAGAGAGAAACATCATTTTCATAGGAGGTTTGGACCTCAGAATCTTCAAGTATTTTTATTGTGTTATAATAGGGTGAAGTTGGCATAATATATTGAATGCAAGATAAGTCCAAAGGGCTAAGAAGCTATGAGTTGTCAATTGCATTCATAACGAAGATTTAGCTATAAAAATAATGCAGAAAAGTAAAGTTTTAAAACAATATGAGACATTAATTGAGATTTGGAGAGTTGCAGATGACATTAGAGCAGTTTGGTTGGCAAACCTCTTGTATGAAATTTTGAATCTTAAGAGGATGACAAATGCTGGAGAAGATATATTTGGTACCAATATTTAACAATCAAATATATGTTAAGATTGCAGTAATTATAGAAGAATCGGTCTTAGCATAATAAAAATACTTTTAAAAAGGAAATGTTGATAGGCAACAATCATCTTTTATATCATGAAAATTCACTATTGATGCAATTTTTTGTTAGCACAATAAATGAAAATATAGAAAATCCAAAAAGAAGTTCATGTCATTTTCCTTTATCTTGAAAATCTATAAGATTTAATACCATGAAAATTAATTTGATGAGCATTGAAGTAAAAAGGTGTATCAAAGATAAGATAAGTTGTTAAGATATGTATGATGGAGCATTGATGAATGTTAAAAATAATTGTGGAGCGACGAGTTCTCAATCATGATAGCTTAAGTTCAAGGACCAACATTGGGTTTGCATCTATTAGATTGGTCCATGAGGGCCGGTCTAACCAGTCTAACTAGTTCAGGAGGGACCGGCCCCTGTTTATAGGAGGCGGACTTGTTCCTCACTTCCTCCTTAAACTCCCGCCCCTTTTGGGTAGGGTCTAGCAGTCATTCGAAGAAGGAAATTAAGGCTTGGTTAGGAGGTAAAATTCAAAGGAGTGGCTGTTTTGGGATTTACATCATTATTGTTTGCTTTAAGTAGGTTGTTTCTCTAGGGTTAGGGTTATGTGTTATTTGATAAAATTAGATTGTTCTTAGGGTGTTTGGGCTATAGTCGACGACTAGGGATTTTGGAGAGCCGTATATTCCTCTCCAATTGAAGATCCATTGCAATTTGTTCATGGTTTAAAATTGTGCAATATGAGGCTCGCCTTGAGGCCCACCTTTGCGCAATTCCAGTAAAAAACGCCTCAATGCTTACGCCTCGAGTTTTTTTATGAGGTTTGCGCCTCAACTTGGTTGAGGCCCGCCTCGCCTCACTGGTATGAGGCTTACGTCTCACGCTATATATATTAAAACTTACATAAATCTTGAAGTAAATGCCCGACATTGGACTCTATAGGAGAGGAAGAAGGGGAGAGAGCAGTTCATCATAATGATGATTCAAATAAAGAACCCCTTAGTGATGACAGTGCTGATGACTTATGAGTTCTTATGTGATATGTCATTGCTATATATTTTTGGAAATTTGAATTATATGTTAATGAAAAGAATACTGGGATTTGAGAAAGATAGAATTTTGAGTTGAGCTATATTTCATGTTGACTTATTATTGGGATATTTTGATTTCAATTCATATCTTATGCTTTTTTATGTTTTATATTATTCACTCATTAGTATATAAAAAATTTATCATTTTATGTTTACGCAATCTTTTGATTTTGAGGCTTACGCCTCAATACCCGAATACGCAATTTAAACATTGATCTTGTTTATTTTCTTCCTTAGACCATCAATTAAAACGGTTTTTTTCTCGGGCTATTCCTCTTAGTTCTTCTTGTTAATTATGTTTGGGGTGGCTTAAATTAAATTTCAGCCAAGGAATAGTGGATTTCTACAAGCACTTCCTAACAACATCCTTTTTTGTATTGATCATGGAGACGGTTAGAAAAAATATTCAAAGTAATTTGGTGTAGATGACAATATATTAATCAATGTAACCTTATTTAAAATAAATGAATGATAGAATAATTAGAAAACCTTTTGAAGATAGCATAGTCTAAAGCAGTTTGTTTTTATAGATAACATAATTTTAATGTGTGCATCTCATTTGGAATAAATGGAATGCTAAAACAATTAAAAAAAATCTTCATAAGGTAAAAGGCTTAGCATCAATAAAACAGACTTAAATAAAGAAAGGAGCATACCCAATGCCTGAAGCTCCCTAAAAACACAATTACTATAAAAAGAGCCCTATGCTGAAACAACTAAATTATGCAAAATGTAGCTAATATAGAGTATTTACCATAAGGATGAATTTCAAATAAATACAAACATTTCAGCTTATAAATGTTATATTGTATTCTAGAAAAAAACATCAGAACAATCAGCTTTTTAAACGTAATTGCTCATAAACATTCTTACATAAATTAAAGTAGAAACAAGCAATCACGAACAAGGCAAAGACAACTTGACGTTTGGAAGAAATAAACAGACAAGATGACTTACAAAGGCATTATAACCATAATCATCACTACCCTTATGCAAATTTATGAAGCCGTAGTATTGATAGTATTGTTAATTGGTCATTTAGTCAGTGCATTATGACATTGACAAAAAGCATGCCCATACAGAATTACTACCTTGAACAATCCAATTCAGAATGCATTATTATTTCAAATGAAATAAACCTATAATCCACTGACAAGTTTGGTAAAAGGCAATTGTTCAATGTATGAACAGTTCAAGGCATGGAGGAGGCAAAGAAGCTTTGAAATTTGAATAACAATAGAAAGTGTATCTTTAAATTTGAAAAAAAAAAACTAACAAAGAAACTTTGCATTTCAAAATGTCTACCACCTTAATAAGCCATTTTCACAGAAATTTTCCGAAATCCCCCATGAGAAAAAATCTATATAACAAAGAACTTGAAATGAATCCAAAAAATAAGTTGATCAAAATAAATAGGGACTTCTTATCACAAGAATTCTCAAAACTTTAGAGCCCTCTCATAAATAGTTAAAGAACCCTGCCACATAACATGCCTCCGCATAAAAGTACAACATAAGAACCGGTATCCCGTCACTTTTCTTAATCAGAGATGACTGCAACAAGATTACACAAAAGATGGTTAAATTGAACAAACAACAGCAAAAAAAAATGGCCAGGATTCAGCATAATATAACAGAATATTAATTTTCCATAATCTTAAAAAAAATCTATTTTTACATCAAAGACTTCTACTTAGTTACGATTTCAGAAGAACCTCAACAAACTTAAAAAAAAAAAAACACAAATTAGGGATTGGTACTTACTTGCGCAGAGCAGGAGCCATCTTATTGGTAAGAGTACCGGCCACAATCATGCAATCAGACTGGCGAGGGCTAGGCCTAAAGATGACGCCGAAACGATCCAGATCGTAGCGCGCAGCGCCCGTGTGCATCATCTCGACCGCACAGCAAGCGAGCCCAAAAGTCATCGGCCAGATTGAGCCACGGCGTGCCCAATTAAGCAGATCGTCAACCTTCGAGATGACGAACTCCGCCGCCTTCGAGATCCCCGTCGGCGATGAGGTCGATGGCGGGCCTGGCCGGGAATACGGCGCCGGTGAGGATGAAGGGGCAGAGGAGGATGAGAAGGGAAGCGCCGCCGTTAGCCCTGCAGTGCTCTGGGCTGAGAGCGCGGCGAAACGGGTGGCGCGGGGGATGAGAGCCATGGTGGAAGCTAGGGTTTGGGCGATGGGAAGGTAAAGTGAATGTTGAGAAGGATTGGAGCGTGGCTTATGGAACTTGTCCACGAGCTTCCTACGGTGGAGAAAATACTTGGGCCGACCTGAAATAATATAGCTCTGCCACGAACGGTTCGGTGAACCGGTTTGAGCGAGCTGAAGCAGTTTGAGAGAGTTGAACCGGCGACTTGAAGCCAAACAAGTACAAGTAATATATAAAAAAATTTATTATAGGAATTATATCGAAATGGGCTTTGAAATTAGACTAGCTTTAAGATTAGTGTAGTTGCATCTTGAAATATTTGCAGCGGTAGAGAAATATAAAGTTTAACGTCTTAATTTTATACGAATATCCAGCATATAAACAGATAAACAGTAGTGTAGCATTCATAAGAGACACGAGAGTTTTTTTGTGAAAAATCTTGAAAAGATGAAAAAATCATGGAGCATTGTCCACTTTAAATGAATCCACTAGCTTTTGTATTTGATTACAAATGAGGCTCTTCCTTGGGAGAATACCTTGGCTTGTTGTAGAAAATATACATCATATAGAATGCATTACATATTGAAAGTTGGAAGAATTAGTGTTGATATCTTCGTTTGGTAGGAATGATCATAGTAGGCGAGTGATGTATGTCGGAAGGACTGTACTCGGGCGATGTTGGTCAGAAGGATCGTAGTAAGGCAACAGAGGTCAGAAAGACAATAGTTAGCAGACGATAGAGGTCAAATAGACCGTAGGAGGGTGATAGTGGTTGGAATGATCATAGTTATCGGGTGACGGAGGTCAGAAAGATCGTAATCGAGTGAAGCAGGTTAAAAGGACCATAGTCCGTGGGCGATGGAGGTCGGAAGACCATAACCGGGTGACGACGGCCGAAAGGACCATAGATAGTGGGCAACGAAAGTCGAAAAAGACCGTAGTCGAGTGATGGTGGTCTGAAGGCCTATATTTAGGCGACGGTGGTCGGAAGGACCATAGTTGATAGGCGAAGGAGGTCACAAAAATTATAATATGGCGACGGTTGATGGTTGGGCAAAAATCTAGCGTTAATTGGGAATTTTTATTGCGTCCTCCCACCTGACGTAGAGATACGTCCTCCTACCGCCAAAAAACTCGATTTGTGCTCGGTATTGCTAGGTATTATTTGATAATAACGAGGAATATCATCATGTGAAGACCAATACCGAGTTATACCGAGCAATACAAAAAATTACCAAGCTTTTTCTAGGAAAAACTAGGTATTTTTTTGTATTGCTCGGTATAGCTCGGTATAACACGGTATTGGTCTTCACATGATGATATTCCTCGCTATTGTTTGGTATTGCTCGGTATTTCTCGTTTATTTCTCATTTTTTAGCTCGAATTTAGCTCTGGGAGGACGTATCTCTACGTCAGGTGGGAGAACGCAATAAAAAATCATTAATTGGTGGTCGGACGGAAGTCTGAAAACAAATGGTAGTCGGGCGAAAATCCAGCGATGATCAATAGCTATGCGTAAATCCGGCGTCAGTTTATGGCAGAGTGGAAGCCTAGTGATAACTAGTTGTTAGGACAAAGTCCTACAACTATTGGTGGTCAAGTGTAAATCTAGGGTTAATTGGTGGCCGGGCAGAAGTCTAGCAATAGTTGGTGGTCGGGCAAAAGTACAACAACAGATGGTGGTTGGGAGAAAGTCCAAAGATGGTTGGCGGCTAGTGAAAGCTTGATGAAGGATGTTAAGCCTCGTTGAACTATCCCTAGGCACACCAAGAGGGAGTGGGGTGAATTGGTTGTTTTAATAAAAAAAAAGTAACAATTTTTTTTTTTTTTTAGATTTTTTAACAACTTAAAATGTCACGACCCGACCCGACGGGGACGGATCCCGCCCGAGCCGGATCACGACAGAACCTTCTTATCCAGGATCTGGCTTTGGAATTTGGTTCTGAACTGAATCTTCCAAAATAATTAACTCAACAGACGCACAAACACAGAACAACAGAGCTACTATAAGTCACCAAATGCAGCGGAACAAAACATCTAT